TCGTTTTGGTGTGTGCACGACACGATTGCAAGACGATAGGCGTACAAGTACACAGGTGCAGTAGTAGACGGATATTTAACGCGGCGGAAGAATTAATTTAAACGGCCCTGTTAGAAAGTTCGTTGAGTTGAGTTGCCGCGTTAAATGCCCCTTTTCCATCAGGAGCCCTCAGAGTTAAGGAGTTTTCTGGTCCATCCTAAATCGAATAAAACCGAGAATAAAGCTACCGATGCATAGATAGATAATAGTACTTTATAAACGTTATACTTATATATAATTGTGCAATCTAACAAAAGATTCTTTACAAATACCCTGACTATAATGAATATTTATCATTAAGACACATTCAATTTATCGTGTTGTGACACGATTTGATTATATTTTTTTACATATACTCGAGATTTGTTAAAAATTGATACTATAATCTTTTTAATTAAAGGAATAATTTATTTCGAAAAATTAATAGACGTACATAATATACATTCTTATATGTATATTATATCAAAAACTAGTATGCTTGCACAGATAATCTATTTATTGATATTATATTAATATAATAATGTCTATCTATCTATGTAAGTCAAAACTTGTTTGAAAAATGTTCGTTCTATGAAAGTTGAGCTTATTTATTGAATTTTATCATAAAAAAACTCAAGATAAATGTATCGTCGTGTAAGTATATATAATAGTCCTTCGAAAAAACTTATATCTCGACGAAACATATATAATAGGGCAGGCGACAAGATGATCGCGCCATCTTTCTTCATAATGTTCATCGATCTCGACGCGAAAGAAAGAACCGTGCCATTGTCTCACGAGTCGAGGGTAAAGATTCTCGTCGAGCAGAACTTTCTTTTTCCTACTTTCTAAGAAAAAAAAGACACGCCATGAGGAAGGTATGGAACACGCCTTCTTTGTGCGCACACCCCCGCAAAAGTTTTCGTGATCGAACTCTTTGCACGAGAGGCAATCGTTATACTGGATCTTACCATTGTAAAATTCGCTATTGAATGTTCCGTCACCATAAAGACAAACTCCTCCTATCAGTGCGTCTCGTAGATACCAGATAATGATTATAAATAGGTTGTCTACTTCCCATTCATCCTCAAATAAATAACGTAAGACAATGCTTTAATTTAAATTGCCCCGAGCGAATCATATCTAAGGCAGCTAAACTCATTAACAAGTTTCCATTCATGAGAGTTACTTCGCAAAATTGTCACCGGCAATAATAGCGACGTGCGAAGTGTTGTATGAAATTGTGTATTATTAAAAAAAATATTAATTAGAATGTTATATATAGTAGCATATGTATACATGATCAATAAATTATATAATAAATTATAAAGCGCGTAAAATTCATACAATAACATTAAATATTATTGTCGGTAGTTTGCATAGAAGTTGATTTACTGTTTTAAATTTGATGTACTTGAAAAGGGCTGCAATGACAGCCGAAACGTTGTTGTATTTCAAATAATTATTTATAATAAATTATTGCCAGTCTGGTCGACTTTAAACACTGAGGAGTGGTTTTTATTAATTATTACTGGCAACCTTAAGGATTATTATTTATTAAATATTATTATTAATTTTAAAATATAGCAGTTTTCATTATAAGCTCAGAATATTATAACTAAAAAGCTCAGAACATAAATTTTTACAAAACTTTTTCAAATTAATTATAAACATAGAATGTCATTACAGTTTGTGTATTTAATTTATTAATATAATGTAGTATTATATTGTACATGACATTGTGCTCATGACGTAAAAAGAAATTATATCGTCATATATAAAATTTTCATCGCGCCATGTATAAAACATGTAATATGTTATATTAATAAATTTATTATATTGTTATTAATAAATTTATAATATTAATAAAAAGAATCGTAGCTATTTATATTTTCGAAAAAAATTGAAGTTTTTAATTCAAAATTCCCTTTTTTTAGTATAATAAAATTTTTAATTTTAATTCTTATTCAATCATTCAAAATATAAAGTATTTTTAATTTTTTATTAGATGTATATACAGTATGATAACACCGTTAATGGAATAAAAACTCATACTTCCACATAATTTATAAAATTGTAGTGCCAAGTAAAGAATAATAGTTTTGTCAATATACATATAACTTTATAGAATGAAGTTTTATCATATCAAAAAATGTCTATCTTCTCATATGCAAATACAAAAGCGTAAATTAGTTCAAGGATCATCCGTGAAAAATACTACACGAGAAAAAGCAGAATAAAAAATAGTTCATTTTTTCCACAAGAACAATCACGAATGTCGTTCTGCGGTAATATGACATATATGAAAGATTGTGGAATGGACATTCCCTTGAGATTATCATCGCATACATTGCAAAATGATATGCAAATGGAAGAACTTGTGTTGTATGGCATCTCAACGGAAAAATGCATTTCATGCATTTTTAATAATAAAAATAGAGTACATTAATTATTTAGATGAAATCTTGGTGAAATCGTATACAATTCTAAATTTTTTAACAAGAACACGAAAAGGAATCTATACATTCAGGAATCTATACAAATAAGGAATAAATACATTTAGTAATTAAACCTGAAACGACTGCTAATGTATTTCAAATCTGCTACTGTCGATTCTTCTTGGCTCACAAATCATTGAATTGCTGTAGAATTCACTTCGACTGGTAAAGAACGTATGTCTGCTGATCAAGGTAGTAAGGTTTCTGCAGTGCGAGGAGCACCCTCGGGAGATTGTGTCCGAGAAGAGAGTGCGATGAAAACAAGTGGCCGAGAAAAATCAAGAGAGCAGTTCGACAAGCGAGAGGAGAGTAGCTCGGCAATGAAACGCAAGCGGAAGATTGTGGAGTAAAGGCACTCTCTTGAGATTGCCAGTTCACATGCTCGATACTGATATCACAGAGAAAGGAAGCAAAGAAGAACAAAGACTTCTCAGTTTCTTGGCATTTGTGGAAGACTGCAAAATATGTACTATTTCAGTGAATTTTCTTATTTATAATCGTCGATTATATCATTTATAAGATAATAATGAAAATTAATTAACGTTTTCAGATTTTTTTTTCTTTTTCAATTAAATTAATATATGCGTTCAATTGATATAAAGGCACACATAAAAGTTAACGATTTTATCAAAAGTAGTGAAAAAAATAGCTTACGTTTTCTTATGTATTACATTTTTTTTCTTATTATGTCATAAAGATGCTTGGTAAAATTAATGTTAAATGAAATGTTGGACGTATAATATCTTTGAGACATTTAATTTAGAGAGTGCCATCACGAAAGAACATTGTTTGCACATGTGTTTATATAAGAAGGCTATATACCGCGTCTTAACGTGGTTCGTTGAAACCTTTGATTGATTGCAGAGTATACTTAATGAGCCGTACCCCTATCTCAAGCGAAGTGCAATTACCGCGCAGAGGTGAATGTAGGTAGCTTCACTAAACTCAAAGACAGTTGTTTTGTTGCACTACGCGTGAAATATCGTAACTACCGCAATTGGAACATGTTGATAAATACAGCGATGCACAATGGAGATAAATTTGCGGCATTACTACATGGTATTCTATTCTATCCAATTTAAGTGCGCAATTTCGTAGTAACTGCATATAATATACGATATAGGATATGCAGGAAAATCATTTTCAATATTCAAAATGATGACTGTAGTATATAAAATCGCTTTGTATTGCATAAACGTGTTCCTTTTCCATTGTAATTTACACTCCAACAACTTTACATCTTATGTCCGACTTTAGTATAACGAAAGTATATTTCGCATTATTTAAATTTAAGACCGACAATTTTTATAAGTTTAACTTTAAGTATCTTAATAATTACATATTTAACTACACATAATATTATAAATTAAGAAATAAAATATTATACTCTATTTACATTCTTGAAAAGGCTGTTCAATTTGGTCATTAAATATATTCTGCAATCATTAAATATTCAATACCATCAATATGAAATTATAGCTTCATAAATTTTCCATAGAGGAAAGAAAGTCAGTGGCAAATTTATATGAGCGAAGCTACTATTGATTCTCATATTTTACGGTACATCCTATATACATATATATATATATATATATATATATATAAGTTAATCATACAATATACACGAGTGATAAACGAGTATCCGTTTCCATTGAATAGGTAGAGATTATTCACCGTAGTTTCACCGGAAAAGCGGTCCTCTAGAGAGAAACCGGCAATTCTCCGAGATTTCCCGGTTCGATTTGAGAGATTATCATACAAGCTAGACGTCTATTTATGCGGAACAAACGATGGCCTATGCGACGGACGTTACTGGACGGCTCTGATTGAAATGCGCCCAGTAATTTCCGGTTATTTGGCGCATACAGTTACGCTCGCGACGCGGTGCATTAGGCCGCCATGACGCCGGTAACGTTTGATATGGTTCTACTATGATCCATTTCCACATACTGCATCCCGTATATCGATGTCGATCATCGTCGATGAAATTGTATGGAGGCTTACGCGATTACAGAGAGCTAATATCTCGCGGGGCTTTTAATCGATCCTTTACAAAGAGGACTAAGCTGTATAATAATTATATTCGCATAGTACGGGTACTAATTGTTTGGAAATTAATTACATATTATATATCGCCTTATATACAAATTAATTTCACATAATAAATTCACTAGTGATGAAAAATAATATATATAAAATTAAACGTTTCTGTTGTATGATATTATTGTTCTTTTGAAATTATGTTAGTTTAAACAATATTTTTTTGAAAAATAAAAATTAAATCACATAAATAATTTATTATTTACATCGCTCTTTTTTTCATTTGTTATTATTACAGTATTTTATTATTTCTGTAATTTTGGAAATTTCTCAAATTCTAGGCAATATAATTTTTTGTGATTTTTTTTTATAACATTAACTCACAACCGCGACATTTAATTAAAGTTATAAAAGATAACATTCTATTTTATCAAAATTACTTACGTTAATGAGATCCAGCTTCTCGTCATCTAACCTGCAACAAAAATGAAAGATAGCTCTTTAGATGGTTGTAACGGAAGGTAACAATTTCGCGACATTTCGCTGACCGACTTGAAATGTCGCTCGGAATGAACTGTAATAACATTAGAACTCGACAATGTACGAGGTGACTCGTCGACGACAGAAAACTGTGTTCCTGGTCGTGCCCCAGTCCAACCTACCAATTTCAAAAGTTCGTGGTAAACTAGTGGCCAAAACTAATTTTCCAACTAATTTCCGAAATAGGAATCCCAAACGAGAAACCGCTCTCGTAGATGACCGAGAAATTACGCAGCACGTGATGCGCAGAAGTTTAGATAAAATCGTGCGAGGCGGAAGAGAAGGAAGTTGTATTTCATTCAACTGTATGCATATTATTTTTAGTATTTTTTACGCATCTCATCATTTCATAAATGTACAATCTGTGTTTGTCAACTTTCAAAAGTTTTTAAAGATATATATACATATACAAACGTATAAAAATATATACAACACTATTCTCGCAATCTCCTAAATTTCAAATAAGCATACATTTTGATAATAATAAAGTGGTAACAAAATATCTCTCTTTTTCTTTAAGTATTTAATTTATTACGATATTACATACCGTCGTTGTATATCATTAAAATGAGAGATAATTATTATTCCTGCATAATCGCAACGAGATCTGCCTATCATAAGACAAGATCCTCACTAGCTCTCTTCATGCTTCGTTAACATTAAACCTGATCGAAGTTCGACTTTCGAGCTCCGTTAATCAAGACAGACGACGTGCGGGCAAAACCAAAGTATACCCCGGAACGAACCTTCTCCTTAACTGGCTAATTCCTCGATTAACATTTTAATTACCTGGTGCACGAAGCGAAAGTTTGAGCGAGCTGCCCTAAGCTTCCACGAGAGAAGAAGATTAGAGTCTCGTTAGGGTGGCGCAGATCTCCTACCCCACCGTGTCTACCACCACATTTCATCCTCAAAACTAATTTGACCCGATATGCGTTGAAGAAAATTATTCGTTGGCTTATTCGACGTCGGCGTCTACTTTCTACCCGGAGGAACAATTTGCAAAAAATGAAGCGGGGAACAGAGAATATCAAATACTTTTGTGGACAAAGAGCAAAGGATTTTAATCTCGGTGAAAGACAAAAAGATGCAATGTGTGCGATGATATGCGATTTTGCAGTGAGCACTCTCGACGACAACGACGCTTTGTGAGGAACGTCAAAAGACAAATGGCCGTCTTTCTTGCCGCATATTTCGCGACTGACAAGTCTGAAATTTCGACGATCTGAAACGTTATAAATAGTTCTTTCTAGCAATTTTTAGTTCTTTAGAGCCAGCGTTATTTCGCGTTGATTCCACTTTCCGCGCGGCAAAACGAAATATTTACATCGTAATATACAAGTCCTCGCTAAAAATAGAAACTAGAACCGGCACAAATATGTGTACTGTCCTAATTTAAAATTTTTGATATGTTTTACTAGACACAAAAAATATATATATATATATTTATAAATGACAAACATACTATACACCTCAAATATAAAAAAAAAATTTATTTCGTATTAATAATAACATATTCAAATTGTTATGAATAATTTTAAAATAATAATTTTAATTTTTATGTTCTTATTACTCAAAATTTCATTAAATTTATATTTAATTCTCAGTAAACAGCAAAATATCAAATCGCATCTATTTGTTCCATTATTTCATCGTTTTCCTTTATAATTATCTTTGATATTATTATATCACATCTAATTGCATAAAAGTACTTTTGATTGATATAGATTTTTTTACTCGCCATATTATTATGCATACCATAAAACTTAAAACATTACAATGAACTGTACTGTGCAACTGTTATTTTTAATAGGTCTCTGAAGGAATGGATTCGTTATTTCGACGTTGAAACTTGTATTATGAGAATAAATTTTACGGGTTACTAAGTGTTATGTTTCTCGCGAGAAAAGCGACATATCTATAAATAGGAATTTTCGTCGGCATGATAATTACCAACGCTAACAATAACTGATATAGCATCAAGCAAGATGCTAGTAAAGATAAAATTGCGGCCTATCATAATAAAAATAGCACATGTACAAAAATCATTATACTGAAGTAGATTAATTTATTTGTAAGTCAAATATATTCGCACAAATGCCGGTTACTTAAAATTATCCTCTTAAATTTATTCGAGCTCGCTATTAAAAGATAAATCGAGAAATAATATTTTACGCGATAAAAAAGGGAAAAAATTGAAAAAAAATTACTTGTACTCTTTCATATTTTATTAAATAGTATTAACATTCCTGATAAATTTGATGAATATCAACTTTTAAATTACAATGCTAAAATACGGCCGCAGCAATAAAAGCTTGCGCATGCAGAGGAAACGAAGTTTTCACGGTAGAAAATTTTATTGCTAATGTAATCGCATAGTTTTGAAACAAGCTCGTTTTTAATCATAGCGCGTATGCTGCCGTTAAAACTGTAGAACTGAGATTAAAACGGCAATGTATTATATCGCTGATACAAAAAAAAAAGACAGAAACGAGATTCATCTGTATTTCTGCTAAGGTCGCTATGTAGCATAACTTACACCATTTCACTCTTCGCGCAAAGTGTCTCCAATTTACCGAGCGTGTCTCCTGCGTCCTTTGCTCTTGACTCCTTCTCTCTCGACCCTTTCTCTCTGACCGTTCACTCTCTTCCCTTCGCGAATTCCCGTTCTCCCCTAGCTTGTATTTCAAGTCCGTTGAACTTTTTGTTTCAAACGCGTCGCGTCTTCTCTTCTCACACGAGTACGCGTCTACTCGACTACTTCGTTTTCATTTCGCCCGAGTACACAAGTTTTGCGCGTAAGTGATTAAGACGCTTAATCTGTGCGTACAAGAGTATAGGGGGCCCACTTCTGTGCTAAATCTCCGTCCATCGCCCTTTTCTTATACCCTTTCTTATACAGATGGTTTGAGCTAATCCATTCTCACTCATCCATCTTTCTTCTTCCTTTTTCTCCATTTCTTCAATTTCTGTTCTATCGAAATCTTTCTAGGTTTTAGTCTCTCATTCGCCCTGCATCATTGTTCTTTACCTTTTTCTTATTTTTTTTCTTTTCTCTCTCTTTCTCTTTTATTTAACATATCGATTTCTGTTCTTAGTATTTCCGCATCCCCCGACGTAGCCACTCTTTTTCTTCCGCGTCTTTATCGTACTATTTCCTTTACATATAGAATACAATTTCCTGTACATACCCCATGCTACCACATACATAGATTCTTTACATCTCTCTCAGCTTTTATCTCAATTATAAATTGACGTGCTGTGTGAAAGCTTCTCTTTTTTTCGATTTTCCCAGCATATCAACATTTTTCTTATAATGTCACAGCGAAAAATAATGAAAATTAACAATGTATATTATATACACTCGTATAAATTGATATTACGTTTATGTGAAAGTTATCGTCTGTTCGCGAGAAATATCAAATACATGATAAATTTAAGGGAATCCTAGTCCTTGAGAAGTCTGTTATTTTTTTCTTGAATTCATAATTCTGTAACCTAGATATATGAGACTATATATAGATTGATAAATTTTTTTATGTACAAATTAAAGTATTAATATATATATAGCCATTCAATAGATTTATAATTTATCTATAACCTCATATTTTGTCTATAAAATAGGAGAAAAACAACAGACTTCTCAAGAACGTTTAGGATCTCCTTAAGACAAGACGAAAAATTAATATTACCATTACCGTATTTTTTCTCATAATCGTGATTCGTTAGTATCGCATATCTTCTGGCAACGATGGTCTGAAAGTTTGCATAGGAAGAGAGAAAAAAGTCTAGACAAATGTACTTGATTTAGCGAGTTACTCGGGACGAATTACGTAGCAAAATCAAACGAGATACCACTCTCGTGTTTTAGCGCCGCGGAGAACAGCGTGTTGATTTAGGATGGTAAGTTATGATCTCGTGTACGACTGCAGTGCCGTAGTAATATCGCGTAGAATATGGAGGCGCCAGATAAATTTCAGTAGCAATTAGCGGCCGTCGCGATAAAATCCATAATGTCGCACCGTCGCGGAGTCGCGCGCAACGCTGAGAAACGCGAGTTTGTTAATTGAGTGTGAATCTCGCTATAATACCCCTTCCAGCAGGGAGGGAACGTTCCGCAGTAGCAGAATTTTGAACAGGCTTTTATGAGATTAATTATCATATCTAGTTACATAATAGATAATGCTTACGAATATGTATACACAACATGCAGCAAATCAAATCAATTGTTACAATTTACAACGAAATATTGGCAGACAATGTTTTTATAATACAACCCGACACGAAAATTGTTAATTCGTATTTATGTTAACAAATTTTAATTTCTTATACAAACAAATATATGTCACAAATATTGAATTTGAAAACTGATACTTTTTCAATTTTCATATTCATCGACAAGTATACTATACTGCAAAGACTAATTATTGAAGAACAGATAAAAATATGTGATTCATGACAATTTTTAAATTGCAAAGTTTCAACTTCTATTTCTTTGGATTTATGGATATTCTAATACCGTGACCAATTCCAAGTTGATAAGACAAAATGTAATTCTTGCGCGAAAGCTCGTGTAAGTTCTATCGTTGCGGTTTGAAAGTCACTTTAGATCGCGAAATCGTATTACTCGCGGTCTTATCTCTTGGCCACCTCGTAACAGAACACGAAAATCGCGCACTATGCATATATTCACTACATTAACGAAATCAGTCATCATTCGTAGCATAGAACACCGAAATCTGACCGCGGTGCTAATGTCCTGCAAATTGCAGGCCGCGTTACGGTGCTGGATTATTGATGACAGAGAATGGCTACGACTATGCGTCTCTATTATCTTTACGATCTGCAAATGGTGCCCGTGGTCATTCGTTGCCTTGAATAAATATGGCTGTTCTATGCGATTGTTTCAAGCTTAACGCGCCCACCGATCCGAAA